ATTTCTTGAAGTGACACACGACCCGAGGAAGGCTACACTTTTTCCCGATTTTCGACACACCAAGCTGAAAAGGTTAGCCATCACTGAATTAGATGCAATTCATTAAGCGTGTTTCCTGAGGATTTAATAACTTTTCCTCTTCTTTCACCCTGAAAGTTAGAGTTTGGCAGCCGATTTTGGTTGCCTTCCAGGGATTACATGAATGGCTTTGGGCGAAGGGGCACGAACGGAGCCTAATTAAAGGTAGCCCACATAAAATCAGGAAATGGGAAAACCTGCTTACAATTTTGGTCAATGAGTCTAATTATTTTTGTTGAGTGAAACCTAGTGAATGTTCAGAGTATAGTCCTCGTCCGATGTCCTTTGAGATAAACTTTTGATCTTGTTTAGCATTATGAAGTCTACTTCCTCATTGAATTCATATTACCTAACAGTGCAAAAACAAACAAACAAACAGGACAATTTCTTAGGCAGTCTCATTCAACAGAGATGATTAGACAGCTGAAGGCTGAAACATACGAAGAATGGTTGCAGGAATTGGGTACGTCTCGTTTAATGAAAAGAAGGACTAGGGGGGACTTGATAGCAGTGTTTCAATATTTGAAGGGCTGCCCCGAAGAAGAGGGAGTCAAGCTATTCTCCAAAGCACCTGAAGGCTGAGCAAGAAGCAACGGATGGAAACTCATCAAGGAGAGAAGCTACCTAGAACTAAGGAGAGAATTTCCCAACAGTGAGAACAATTAACCAGTGGAACTACTTGCCTCCAGAAGTTGTGGGTGCTCTATCACTAGAGGCTTTTAAGAAGAGAGTGGACAATCATTTGTCTGCAATGGTGTAGGGTTTCCTGCCTAAGCAGGGGGTTGGACTAGAAGACCTCCAAGGTCCCTTCCAACTCTGTTATTCTTCCAGATGTTTACAAATGGACTGGTTTACTGTTTTAATATCTTTCTGGGTTTTGATGGTTGATAATATCTGAGATCCTCTTTCTGTCCTTTCTCGATGAGGAGGACTGGCATTTAGCCTTTTTCCAGTTTCCCTAGTTGTCTTCTTCATTGGTACTCTTTGGGATTTCATTTATTTGAGATTTAATTTAAACTTTTTCATTTTTTGAAACTGAATTTCCTTTTCAAGAAGTCCCACCCAGCTTCAAATCCATTTACCTTTTAAGGTGTTTTTTTTTAAAAATATCACATCTTCCTTAATTTTTTTTAGTTCATTAGAATTTTGCTTTTTAAAATCCAAGGTTGTTTCCAAGCAAGCTTTTTAAAAAGAATAAGGACTCTAATATTGTATAGCCATTCGCACCCGGCTTTCATCTCTTTAATATCTCCAACCAATCCTGTTAGTAAGGACCAAGTCCGAAGTAGCCATTCCCCTGATGCACAACTCAAACATTTGGAAAGAGAAAATTATCACCAAGACGAGTGAAAAATCGATGTGACATCTTGGGTCCTGCAGAATGACTCTTCCCAGAAAAGAGCCATTCTGCGGTTGAAATCTCCCATTCTGACCACTTCATGGTTTTCTGCTTTAATAAATCTTCCCTCTGTCTTCTTCTAATTGGCTGGATGGTCTCTGACAGACTCCCACGCAAGATAGTCATCCTTTTAATTTGCTCTTGCATCTTAACCCTGATGCTTTTCAACACTCCGGTACCATCAATCCAATGGATCTCTGCTCAGTTCATCTCTGGTACCCATCTCTACACCATCACGTCCTTCTGTTGTTCTCTGTTATTCTGCCTGTCTGTCTATCATATGAATCCCTGCCCAAAAGCAGGATACATTATACCAGAGGTCTCCAAATTTGGCAACTTTAAGACTTGTGGACTTCGAGAATTCTGCAGCCATCTCTACCCCATCACGTCTCTCTGGTGTTCTCTGTCATTCTATCTGTCTGTCTGTCTGTCTGTCTATCTGACTATATCGGTGTATCTATCCCAGGGATCTTCAAACTTGACAGCTTTAAGACTTGTGGACTTCCAACTCCCAGAATTCCTCCGCCAGTCATATTAGCTCCTGGAATTCTGGGAGTTGAAGTCCACAAGTCATGAAACTTGCCAAGCTTGAAGACCCTTGACCTATCATATATATCTATCACACAGAATCGGGGGCTGGAAGGGATCTTGGAGGTCATCTGGTCCAGCCTCCAGCCTAAAGCAGGAGACCTGGCTTATACCATTCTGGACAAACATCCAAATGTCCAAGGAGGCATTTATTTTCTTTCTTTTCTTTTCTTTTCTTTTCTTTTCTTTTCTTTTCTTTTCTTTTCTCTTTTTTTTTTTTTTCCTTTCTTCTTTCTTTCTTTCTTTCTATTTTTATTTTTTAATGAACTTCCATTAAACAGTGTGTTGTCTCTGTGCTATTACAATCAAAATTGGCAATATTCATTACATTGACAATAATTCTCTAAATCATACAATATTAATAATTAGCATTATAACTCTACTCATTGCTCCCTCTTAACATAACTTCTAATGAAAATATAATATTATATTAGGTATGGTAATCTTAACAATCATATATAATAATCATCGTATTGTTTACATCTCTATCTTAACCCGTATTCTTTATTTCACTAATCTCCATTTTTCTCACTTCTATTTTTATTCTCCAACCGTCCATAAAATAGCTCCCATGTCATATAATATTCAGTTTGTTCTTTCTCCTTTATAGAAAGTGTTAATCTGTTCATTTCTGCACATTCTAATATTTTCCTAAAGGAAAATAGGCATTTTCTGACAATGAGAACAATTAATCAATGGAAGAGCTTGCCTCTCAGACTTGTGGGTGCTCTAACACTGGAAGTTTTCAAACACTGGACAAACCCTTTGACTGGAATGATAGAAAGGGTTATAATGATATATAAAGGGTTGGACTATCTCCAAGATCTCTTCAAGCCCAAGATTCTACATTCTACTTGTTCTTCTGAAATCAAGGGTCCTTGTCAATGCAACCCTATTTCTCTAAAGCCTGTTATATCAGAGTTGACTGTGGACTTCACGATTACAGATTAACAGAGTTGGAAGGGATCTTGTAGGTCATCTAGTCCAACCTTCCGCCCAAGAAGATCCTACACCAGGGGTCTTCAAACTTGACAGCTTTAAGACTTCTGGGCTTCAACTCCCAGAATTCCTCCTCCAGTCATGTTAGCTCAGGAATTGTGGGAGTTGAAGTCCACAAGTCTTAAACTTGCCAAGTTTGAAGGCCCTTGCCCTACACCATTTCTGACAGTCCAGTCCCTTCTTGAAAGCCTCCATTGATGGAGCACCCACAATTTCCGAAGGCAACTTCTGTACCATTGGTTGGTTGTTCTCACTGTCAGAAAGTTTCTCCTTATTTCCAGGTTGAATCTCTCCTTGTTCAGTTTCCATCCATTATTCCCTGTCTGGCCTTTGGGTGCTTTGGAAAATAGCTTGACCCCTTCCTTTCTGTGGCAGCCCCTCGAATATTAGAATATGATGTCCATTTTGTTATCCACACTGTAGTATTATACCTTAGTATACTGAAATTTAATAAAGGTGTGGCATCTCTGAATTTATCATCTTTGTTTCATCATCTCCTGTCTTTATTATTTTGTACAAATAACTCAAGGCGGCGAAAATATCGAACACACTTCTTCCTCCTATTATCTCCACAGCAACAACCCTGTGTGGAGAATTGGGCTGAGACAGAGTGACTGGCCCAAAGTTACTCAGCTGGCTTTCATGCCTAAGAATGAACTAGAATTCACCATCTCCTGGTTTCTAAGCTAGCACTTTAACCATGATTAAACAGCAGCTGCATTTTGAAATTTGTCCTTAGGACTGAATAAATGACCTGCTGAGGAAACATTAAGTTTTATCTTCCATTTTCTGTTCTACCATCTCAAATTGTTCCTTTTAAACTGGTCTCCTCTTGACTGATAAACCATAGGGTGCCGTTGTGTCTGAATGTGAGAAACAATGATTTTGCCCTGAACCTGAAAACACAGTTTGATCTTGCTTTGGAACAAATGATGGTTTGAATACTGTTCAAGCAGAATAATTATTTTAGAGGGATTTATATGTTACGATTTTCATGTTTTATGCTGTAAGCTGCCCAGAGTTTACAGATTACAGGTAATCAGAGTTGGAAGGGACCTTGTAGGTCATCTAGTCCAACCCTCCATCTAAGCAGGAGACCCTACCCAATTTCTGACAAATGGCAGTCCAATCTCTTCTTGAAAGTCTCAAGTGATGTCGCTCCCACAACTTCCGAGGGCAAACTGCTCCATTGGTTGATTGTTCTCACTGTCAGAAAGTTTCTCCTTATTTCCAGGTTGAATCTCTCCTTGTTCAGTTTCCATCCATTACTCCTTGTCTGGCCTACAGGCTCTTTAGAAAATAGCTTGGCCCATTCTTCCTCTCTGTGGCAGCCCCTCAAATATTGGAAGACTGCTCTCCTGTCTCCCCTAGTCCTTTCTCTTCACTAGACTAGCCACGTCCAGTTCCTGCAATTGTTCATCGTATGTTTTAGTCTCCAGTCCCCTAATCATCCTGGTTGCTCTTCTCTGCACACTTTCTAGAGTCTCAACATCTTTTTTATAATGTGGTGACCAAAACTGGATGCAGTACTCAAGGTGTGATCTTACTAAGGCTTTATAGAGTGGTATTAGTATCTCACTTGATCTTGATTGTATCCCTCTCATAATGCAACTTAGAATTGCATGAGCTTTTTTGGCTGCTGCTGCACACTGCTGGCTCATTATTTTATTTCATTGCAGGATGGGCAGCAAATAAATTTAATAAATAAATGTACAAACCAATGTGGACAGGCAAGGATGTGGGCAGAGAGACAAATAGGCAAAACCCATGACCAGTCTCTCTTTTATGTTCATATGCTAAATGCTGATGTACTGTATATTTTACCCGTGTATCTAAACGCGGCAATTTTTCCTGGTTATGTTCTCCTTTTGTTCATCTTTCCTATCAAAGCATCGGTGTTTCTGCTGCTCCCATCCTGTACTTGCTCTGAAAGTGCGTCGTTTCCATAGCAATGGACCACTCTGGCCTTCCGCTGTATCCCAGCTTCTCTCCGCTGCGGTCCCATGGATGTCCCTGTCTCCCCAACTCTCATCCACTCCTTTTCCCCCTCTCTCTTGCAGTCTGTACCGTGCGGTGCCAGAAGTTCCTCATCTCCAAAGTGGGCGAAGACTGGATCTTCCTCATTCTGTTGGGTCTGCTGATGGCCCTGGTCAGCTGGGCCATGGACTTCGCCATAGCAACTTGCCTGCAAGGTCAGAAGATTGCAAGTCACAACTGCAAAGGCAGCCAGCACTCCCGGGCTGAGAATCCGAGACTCGGCACTTCTAAGAGGAAATGTTTTGTTTTGTTATTTTATATTTTATTGTCTTTATTTTACTTTATATTTTTTTATATTTTTACACCTTGTTTTGTTTTATGATTGCATTTATTTTATATGATATTTTTTATTTTTTATTTTATTTTATTATTTACCTTATTTTTTATATTTTACTTTACTCTTTACTTTATTATTTTTATTATTCTATTTTATTTTACTTTATTTCATTTCATTTCATTATATTATTATTTTATTTCTTTTATATTTTATTTTATTATTTTACTTTACACTTTATTATTTTATTTTACTTCATTTCATTTTAATATTTTATATCTTTTATATTCTATTTTATTTCTTTTCTTTTTTCTTGTATTTCATTACATTTTATTATTTTTTATTTTTATTTTTTTAATATTTTACTTCATTTTTATTTTTTATATTTACACTTTACTTCATTGTTTTATTTCACTTTATTTCACTTATTTTATTTTATTTTGTTTTCAACATATAACTAATGGAGCCTGCCCATTATGGCTTATAAGTTGTGACGGATGCAAAGTGGATCTGTGACGGATTCTGACAACCTGTCTCGTGGCATTTGTTATGTAAACAAGACACTCTTTAAGTGAACACAGTGGTCGTAAAGTGAATCCATTGTTCACTATGGGCCTTTTTTGCCAAAAAAACCCCCAACAACAACCCAGAAGTAAATGCCTGTTTTCAACAAAAATGTTGAAGTAAGCAATCATATGACTGTAGGACACTGCAAATAGCCATAAATGCGGGTTGGTGGCCAAGAGCTTGACATAAGTCAAGGACTTTTATTATTTTATATTGTTTAATGTTTTAAATTTAATTTAATTTTTAATTGTGATCCTAGGCAGCTTACAATAATTAAAGCATAGAAAAAAACCCACCCCAAGATTGCTCCTCACCCAACATAGGACCTTGGTGGCGCAGTGGTTAGAACGCAGTATTGCAGGCTGCTCTGCCCACTGCCAGGAGTTCGATCCTGACTGGCTCAAGGTTAACTCAGCCTTCCCTCCTTCCGAGGTGGGTAAAATGAGGACCCAGATTGTTGGGGGGCAATAGGCTGACTCTGTAAACCGCTTATAGAGGGCTGGAAAGCACTGTGGAACTATATATAAACCTAAGTGCTATTGCTCTCTAAGGACAAACAACAACCCCACTTGCAGGCAAAAAAAAAATCAGATCAATTAAGTCCAGCTCATCTGCCCCTCTGATCTAAAGGCCTGGGGAAACAGCCTGGACGTCAGCGCCAAGCAGAATTGGGGCCATCCAAATTTCTGGAGGAAAGATGCTGAGAAAATGGTCTCTTTGGGGCAGAAGCATCACTTTAGCTTAGCCTCCTGCCTGGTGGCAACTCAACCTGGAGCAGTGGTGGGATTCAAACATTTTTACTACTGGTTGTGTGGGCGTGCCTTGGTGGGTGTGGCATGGCTTTGTGGGAGTGGCAGGAGAAGGATACTGTAAAATCCCCATTTCCTCCCCACCCCACTAACCTGCTTTCCAGCTCCGTTCTCCTGTGCAGGGCAACCAAAGAAGACCCAGCCGATCAGCTGGAACTCGGGAGGCAGAGAATAGATGGGGGCGGGGCCAGTCAGAGTTGGGATTTGCCGGTTCTCCGAACTACTCAAAATTTCCGGTCAGAACCTGCTGAATACCACCTCTGACCTGCAGGATGATCTCTTGTGCATTGACAAGCAAACCCAATTTTTTTTTTCCCTCTCTCTCTTGCAGCCCAGAAGTGGATGTACGGCGGGTTGGATACCAATGTTTTCTTGCAATACATGGCTTGGATTACCTACCCCATCGTGCTCATCACTTTCTCGGCTGGATTCACCCAGATTTTAGCCCCTCAGGCAGTGGGTGAGTACTGGTCTGGAGAGGTGGGAAGGGAGGAAGTGTTGTGGTCCGCCGGCAGCCTGCGGAGACGGCAGCAGAGTCAGACAGTGGGGAGGAACATGGGCTAGTCTGGCAATCAGGGGAGGACTTGGACAAGGGTCCTGCATCCAAAACAGAGATGGGGTCAGGGCCATCTGGGAGTTATGTGCAAACTCTGGAGCTTCCAGAATCTGACAGCAGCGAGGCAGAGGAACAAGGGGAGCCTGTTCTCAGTGCGCGCATGCACAAAGCTGCCAGAAGGCAAGAACACTTAAGACAAAAGGGGCAACTCAGGAGTAAGGCTTGGAGGTGATTGGGCTTTCCATAAGACATAAGGGAGGAGGAAAGGGACAGGAACCTTTGCAGGAAGCAACTTTGTTCGTACTGGTTGGTTTGAAACCTGAAGCTCTGTGTTGAATTTGTGCTCCGTTTAGTCTTGTCCAACTAATTGGAAATTTAGTCGTTGGCAGCATTTCAAGGAAGATAAAGGTGGGTGCTTATCAGACTTATCCTGAAGGACTTTTACAAACTGTTTGAGACTCATTACGGGCTGTAAATTACTAAAATTCACAGCTGTTGAAATAAAGAAAAAAAGGGTTTGAGGATAAACATGTGTTTGTTAGTGTCTCAATAAGCCTTGGTCAGAACAAGAAGCTGCTGTGGAGGAAGCCCAGATGTTTGGAAGGCACAGTTGGGAACCGACCCTCTGCCAGCCGTTCCTTTTCTGATCCTGGAGACAAGGAAGGTTCCATTCCCTCAGAGACCCAAACTCGGGGAATTCTCCTAAAAGGTGGTGCTTTTTGTCCGTCAAGCCACCTTCCTCTGCGAAAACGTTAAAGGTTTCCCCTGCATTGGAATTATCCCTCTTTTCCTTCAGAGCGGAATCAAACCCAGGCCTTCGCTGAACTGACTCTTAAAAGGCAAATTCATAGGCCATGCTTAAAGCATGCTGGGGAATTCTGGGAGTTGAAGTCCACATATCTTAAAGTGGTCGAGATTGAGAAACATTGCACTAGGCCTTTCCCTGATCTAGTTAAACATGCTGTGTGGGGATTTTCACTGAGTAAAAAGAGCTTTCGTTCAGTGGTCGCTCTCTGGATTTTCCTGATTCTTCTTTTTTGCCTCATCTTTTTTTCTTTCTTTCTTTCTTTCTTTCTTTCTTTCTTTCTTTCTTTCTTTCTTCTTTCTTTCTTTCTTTCTTTCTTTCTTTCTTTCTTTCTTCTTTCTTTCTTTCTTTCTTTCTTTCTTTCTTTCTTCCTTCCTTCCTTCCTTCCTTCCTTCCTTCCTTCCTTTCTCTTCCCTTCCTCTCCCCCTTCCTTCCCTCCTTCCCTCTCTCCCTCTCCCCACCTTCCCACCTTCCTTCTTTCTTTCTCTCTGTCTGTCTGTCTTCCTTCTTTCCTTCCTTTTCCTTCCTTCCTTTTTCTTTTTCTTTTTCTTTCTTCCTTCCTTCCTTTCTTTCTCCTTCTGTCTGTCTTCCTTGCTTCCTTTTTCTTTCACTTTCTTTCCTTCCTCCCTCCTTCCCTTCCTCTCCCCTACCTCCATCTCTCTCTCTCTCTCTTCCTTTCTTCCCTCCTTTCCTCTCTCCCTCACCCCACCTTTCTTTCTTCTTTCTTTTTTCTTTTTTCTTTTTTCTTTGTTCCTTCCTTCCTTCCTTCCTTCCTTCCTTCCTTCCTTCCTTCCTTTCTCTTTCTGTCTTTCCGTCTGTCTGCCTTTCTGTCTTTCTTTCCTCTACAGGCTCTGGCATCCCAGAAATGAAAACGATCCTGCGTGGTGTGGTGCTGAAGGAATACCTGACCCTCAAGACTTTTGTGGCCAAAGTCATTGGACTGACCTGTGCATTAGGCAGCGGGATGCCTTTGGGAAAAGAGGTGAGGGGGGCTTGGGGGTCTGTGGGCTACCAAGACGGAGAAAGACCTGGAAACCAGGTTCTGCCTGGAGTGCTGAAAAGACGCAGCTGTCTTCAGCTTGCAGAAAGGTAGTTTGAGAGAACATAGGAGACCAGCAGTCCTCGACTTACAACATTCAGGGACTGCTCAAGATTACAACGGCACTGAAAAAAGTGACTTAGGACCATTTGTCACAATTACAACCTTTGTAGCATCCCCATGGTCAGGTGATCAACATTCAAATACTGGGCAATTGGTTCATACTTATGACCATGGCTGTGTCTCAAGGTCATGTGGTCACTTTTTGCAGACTTCTGACCAGATCCACTTAACAGCTGGGTTGCTACCTCTATCAACTGCAATGATTCACTGAACAACAGAAATGGTTGTAAAATGGGGCAAAACTCACGTAGCAAATGTTTCAGTGAACAACAGAAATGGTGGGCTCCATTGGGGTCATAACTCAAGGAATACTGCAACCACACCAGGGAGCACATGCAACCAGTTTTGGTCACCACAGATTACAAAAAAGATACTGAGACTTTAGAAAAAAAAATGCAAAGAAGAGCAACCAAGATGATCAAAGGCCTGGAGACTAAAACCTATGAAGAACGGCTGCAGGATTTGGGGTTGGCTGGTGTAGGGACAAGAAGGACTAGTGGGGGACATGATAGCAGTCTTTCAGTATTTGAGGGGCTGCCACAAAGAGGAGGGGCTCAAATTATTTTCCAAAGTACCAGCGGGCAGGGCAGAAAACAATGGTTGGAAACTAATCAAAGAAAGAAGCAACCTAGAATTAAGAAGAAACTTCGTAACCGTGAAGACAATTAACCAGCGGAACAGCTTTGCCTTCAGAAATCGTAAGCGCTGGAACACTGGATGTTTTTAAGAAGACTCTGGACAGTCACTTATCTGAAATGGTAATAGGTCCTCCTGCTTGAGCAGGAGGCTAGACTAGAAGACCTCCAAGGTCCCTTCTAGCTCGTTCATTCTATTCATTCATTCACTACCTGCAGTGAATCCCGTAGAAGGTTGAACATGATGAACTCTACGATCCTGTGATTCTTCCAACTCTATGATCCTGTGATGCTTCTTTCCAAGGCTGCCTTAATCCAGCTGCCTTAACTGGACACACCACTCATGGAATCATTGATTGAGATGGGGCGGCTATAGAAACAGAGTAGATAAATAAATAAAAATAAAAACTTTGAAAGTGTTCGGGCCCTAGCAACATTCTGCTGTTCTTGCTAACCAATTCTTCCTCCCTTTCCTCTGTTCAGGGACCCTTCGTCCACATAGCCAGCATGTGTGCAGCCCTCCTCAGCAAGTTTCTTTCTGTCTTTGGAGGCATTTATGAGGTGAGTATCTACCTCTGAGACTGCAAGGTAGAATATGGACTCTGAGAAAGGAAGAACGAGAGGGCTGGAAAACGCCAAACTGTTGGTTCATCAGGGTCGTTGGTGCTCTCTCCGTTTGGTTGTTTTCTTGCAGACGTCTCATTACCAAACTAGGTAACCTCATCAAGGCACTGATGAGGTTGCCTAGTTTGGGTAATGAAATTACCTAGGACCCCCTCATTTCAACCCTGAGTTACAAATATTCTCCTTTATTGTCGCTGGAGATTCTCAGTCCTCCAGATCATGGTTGTCCCAAAAGTGCTTTTTTTTCGAAAGACAACTGGACTTTCCTTGAAGATGTTTCGCTTCTCATCCAAGAAGCTTCCTCAGTTCTGACAGTCAGAACTGAAGAAGCTTCCTGGATGAGAAGCGAAAGGCCTTGAAAGAAAAACAACTCTACATTCTCCTTTATTGTTGGTTAGTCACAACAGGCAGGAGTCCAGTTCCAAGTTGTGTTCCCAGTCCTAAGATTTATAATTTCAGGATAATAATCCCCAACTTGTAGAAATCAAACAAAATTCAGGCCTGCTTTATGGTCATTGCCAAAAAAAAAAAATGTCCTACAGGCACTCTTGAACTCTTAGGAAAAGTACTGTTGTGGACTTGTTCCCTATTATGATTAGATTCATGACTTCATTCTCGAACTCTCTTGCCTCTCAGCTAGTGTTACATCGTGCTCCAAGGCCAGGCTGTCTGAGAACAATGGGGATTGTAGTCCAAGCTATTTAGAAGGTCTGTTTTCCAAACCTAGGGATAAAAATATATGTTGAAAGTTGAGAAAGGCCAACTGAGATGGGAGGTAAGGTAAGAGCTGAAGAAGGATTCCTAATAGGAGATGGTTTATTTCTGCTCAGCATATCAATTTAGCCCTGTGCAACGTGACGTTAGCGGAAGAGGGGAGCACCACGAAAAAAAAAACAGCATTTCCGTGGCATTTTATTTATTGGTTAACAGATAACAGATGATCAGAGTTGGAAGGGACCTTGTAGGTCATCTAGTCCAACCCCCCACCCAAGCGGGAGACCCTACACCATTTCTGACAGATGGCAGTCCAATCTCTTCTTGAAAGCCTCAAGTGATGGTGCTCCCACAACTTCCGAGGGATGGTTTGTTTATCAAAATTGAAAACTGCCCACCTGCCTCACAGATGCTTTTTCTTACACTGCAGTCACCTTTATAGTTTAAATCTCAATAAATCCTCTTCTCTTGGCACAATGGCTTGCTAAGCCTTTGGAGAACAGAATGGGGACTGGGTCACGATGAACGTCCATTGGTTGGATTGTGCATTAGGTTTAACAGAGCCGTGGTGGTGCAGTGGTTAGAATGCAGTATTGCAGGCTAACTCTGCCCATATTTTGGAGTGCGATCCCTGACCGGCTCAAGGTGGAATCAGCCTTCCATCTTACCGAGGTTGGTAAAATGAGGGCTCAGGTTTTTGGGGGCAATATGCTGAGAGTGTAAACTGCCCAAAAAGTGCTGTAAGTCAGTATGAAGTGGTATATAAGTCTAAGTGATGTTGCTATTGGCAGATGTTTGTTTCCCTTGATGCAATCCTCTGCTGTTATTTATTTATATTCGGCCTTATCCTTTTTAAAATTAATTGAAAGCTCCAAACATATCTAATACTCCTTCTGACTTCTGTTTTTCTCCACAACAACCACCCTATGAAGTGAGTTGGGGTCAGAGAGAGAGAGTGACTGGCCCAAGGTCATATAACCAGTAGCTAAGATGGGACTAGAACTCACATGCTCCTGGTTTCTAGCCTAATGCTAAACCAACACACTATTTTTATGTTAATCCAATCAATCTCCTCTGGGTCATTAAACCATAAAAAACATAAAGTAGACAATCACCCTGTCTTTCATGCTTAAGGCGGGACTAGAACTTACACTCTCCTGGTGATTGGCTCAAAGTCACCCAGCTGGCTTTCCTGCCTAAGGTGGGACTAGAACTCATAGTCTCCTGATGACTGGCCCAAAGTCACCCAGCTGGCTTTCATGCTTAAGGCAGGACAAGAACTCTCAATCTCAGATGATTGGCTCAAGGTCACCCAGCTGGCTTTCATGCTTAAGGCAGGACTAGAATTCATTGCCTCCTGGTGATTGGCCCAAAGTCACCCAGCTGGCTTTCATGCTTAAGGCGGGACTAGAACTCTCAGTCTCCTGATGATTGGCTCAAGGTCACCCAGCTGACTTTCATGCTTAAGGCGGGACTAGAACTCATAATTCTCCTGGTTTCTAGCTTGATGTCTTCACTACTATATGAAACAGGCCCATTGTATGTACAGGACTCCATGATTTCCAGCTTTTAAAGCTTCTACCTATCCTTTTCTTTCACCTCCTTCTCCAAAGATACACATCAGCAACCTTTCTCCAAAGTTAAACTTTATTTGAATGTTTTAGAAGGAAGGAAAGTTCACACCGGAGCCCTCGTTGCTGAGGAGGTACAAGACTCATTTTAATGTATGCCAATTAGTGTACATTCAAAGTGACAATAAAGTTATTCTAAGTCTAAGGAGCCTTCCAGCCAACCGTTCCCAAAGGAGTTTTTTTTTTTCAAGCTTTCTTCTTTTTCTTTGAAGGCATTTCGCTTCTCATCCAAGAAGCTTCTTCCGCTCTGACTCGATGGTGGGGATACAACATCATCTTCAGTCAGAGCAGAAGAAGCTTCTTGGATGAGAAGCAAAATGCCTTCAAAAGGGAAGTCCAGTTGCCTCTTGAAGAAAGCACCTTTGGGACAACCATGACTTGGAGGACTGAGAATCTCCATAGACGTTCCTGCCAACTGCTATTCCTCCTCTTTCTCTCTCTCTCTTGCAGAATGAATCCCGTAATATTGAAATGTTGGCGGCTGCTTGTGCAGTGGGTGTTGGGTGCTGCTTCGCTGCTCCCATTGGTGGTAAGACTTCCTTCCAGAACTTTCCATGTGCTTGTCTCTGCCCAACAAGCTCTCCTTTCCTGCCTACTCTGTCCCAATAGGGGCTTCTTTATGAATTTGGCCAAGGAATGTGGGACTAGGACTCACAGTCTCCTGGGGATTGGCCCAAAGTCACCCAGCTGGCTTTCCTGCCTAAGGCGGGACTAGAACTCATACTCTCCTGGTGA